AGGTTTGATCCTCTCCCATGCGCTCTTCCCATCCTCCAACGGTCCAACCACTCTACCTTACTCTAACCTTTTCTTATCATCAGTAGAGTCTATTGAGGCAGAATACTCAAATCCAATCTTTAAAATATGACAGGAACATATTCATTTTTAAATAAAAATAAGGATAAATTTATTTATAAAATTTTTAATTTAAACAAATTATCTTAAATTTAATGTATGAAATCATCTAATATTAGTAACTTGTTAATTTTATGTTATCTGATGTTGGCAATCTATTATTAGCGACATAACAAATTAATGAATTTTTTATATTAAATAATGTCATATGTTAAATTTAGAGTGATTTATCCAAATCAAAAATTTTATAAGTGGATTTATCTTTATTTTTTATTTACCGGATGGATCCATCTTTACTACTATACTTTAAGGGTGAATTTAAGTATTTTACTATCTATTAATTATTAAATAGAGAGATGTTTTTTAATATTAATTTGTTTAATTTAATAATTAATATTTCAGAGTACAAAAACACTTTTTAGTTTACTAGCAACACGTGTCCTCTGTTTTCTTTTATTCCTTTCCGAAAGCTTCAATAATGTTTTACCTACTGATAAAATGTAGTACTAGAAATAAGTTAAATAAACAAGTACACACCTTCCTTTTTTTTATTTTTTAATCACGCATGCAGATTAATGTTATATTCTTAAAAAGTTGAAGGCAACAATTAAAATTAGGGTGGGGCGTTGGGCCGGCCCTCCTAAGTTAGGTGGATTGGCAATGTAGATTGCACTACGGTATGCTACACTTGTCTTTGAATTTTGGGATGCGAAGTTTTGGAGTGAGGGGTTGGCCCCATAAGAGAGTGAACAAATTAAAAATTGCAATTCTTAATAAATAAAAAAAAAAAGGTTGACACAAAGATGAGGGACCAATCCTTAAGCATTACCCATTTGGTATTTATTATTGGCTTTGGTTACCTAATACAAACTGGTTTTAAATAAAATGTTTTATAAGAACCATTTTGAACATTTTGTTTGACTGGTGGGTTATGCTAACCTTTTTTAATCTTGTAAGATATTATCATGATTGTAACTATTCAACCACTAGGGTGTCCCCCTTTCAGAATTTAAGGTCCTCACTAAAGTTTGCCTCATTGTTGTTCAAGAGGTTATGTAGAGTAGTTCTGATATCAAATACAATCACGACTTAACTCATTAGTGATATTATCTGCTTTAATTCATTGAGCAATCATAGTTTTAAAATCTGATAGTAGAGGTTAAGGATGTTAACCTATATACTCAATATTTCCTTCTCATTTTGTTGATATGAGATTTGCCAAGATTAGTTACTATGAATTAAATCAAGCTTTGGACCACTAAGTTATAATAAAATCTTAATTTAATAATTTGGGTTTTTTTTTTTTACTCTTAGGGTATTTTTAGATAAGTTTGTGCATATTTTAAGATTAATTTCTCTAAAATATTTTTAAAAGCACCCCACATTAATATGATACATTAAAAAAATTTTAATTTTTTTATTAGTTCAAAGCATACTCATAAAATATTACTTGCTTATAAGTGAATCTACTAAAAGTTTAATTTGTTAATTTGTTTTTTTTTTTTTTGTACTAACTTTTTAATATTCAAAAACCATATTGGACTCTGATTAATTTGGAAATGAACCACATTGGACCCTATAACTGTTAATGCTCTTTCAGCACTTGTTTCTCCATTTTACAAAACTCAAACTCAAGTCTTTAATTAAGGAGAATTGAGTCTTTTCACTCAAACAACAAGTCATTCATAATTTGTTAATTTGTTTTTTATGCTTTACATAGTCCTTTTTTTTTCCCCCCTTTTAAATAATTAAAAAAGAACCTTAAGTGAGGACAGATCTCTAATCTTGTCCAAGGAGGGGAGAAGAGAGGATTTTTCTTTTCTTTTCTTTTCTTTTTTCGAATATTGGGTAATGGAGGATGTGCTAAGTACAACTACAAAGAGCCTTAAGTGGGGATTGATCTCTAGTCTCGGCCAAGGAGTAGAGCGCTACATCCAAAGAAGCCAAGGCAGTGAGAGTATTTTGATTGGCAAAAACCCACAGATTGCCATTCAACTTTTTGAGTGGGTAAATCTTTACCCTTCACTTTATAATATGTGATTTTATACCCTCATAATATTCGAGTTTATGATTTTATACTCTCATGATATTCGAATTTATAATGTCATACCCTCCTAAAGTTGTAAAGTGAGCAGTAAAGTTTCACACACTTGAATACTAAAGGGATATAAAATCATATTAAAAGGATATAAAATCACATATTATAAGATGAGGGGTAAAATTCTACACTCTCAAAAGTTGAAGGACAATCTGTGGAGTTTTTGCCTATTTTGATTAATTAATTGTTGTCTCTGTATAGTGTAGTCGTGTTTTCAAAACATGGAATTGGATGCTTTATGAGGAAGCCGATTATGTTGGAACCAAAGTCAGAAAGGTATATTGACAACGGTCTCATATAATTCAGAGTTTGTGGTTATTTAAAGTGTGCAAGGATATAATTTTAATGTTATGTAAAATTATAAAGTTATAATAAATTATATATTATTAAATAAGTGAATATATATAATATTAATATATCTTTAAAAGTTTAATGTCAGCAAAAATTCCTTAACTTTGCGAATCAAGTCATTATCATCCCTCTACTCAAGAACAATTCATAATATTCCCTGAACTCTACTGAAGTGGCCAAGTGTCATCCTTCTGTCAACGGACATCTTGACGCCGTCCAAAAATCTGTTAAGTTCGATGATGTTTCCTATGTGGCGCTGATGCAACACCAATTTGGACCCGTTTAATTTCATTTTTGGGTGGTACTACAGGATAAATTTTTTATTTTATTTTTTTATATAATTTT